TATGAGTATGTATATATAAGTGTGTGTGTGTGTGTGTGTGTGTGTGTGTGTGTGTGTGTGTGTGTGTGTGTGTGTGTGTGTGTGTGTGTGTGTGTGTGTGTGTGTGTGTGTGTGTGTAATGCAATTTATATTCCATTCATTTTTTCCTGCACTCTCCTTTCCCTTCACCTCTTGCATATTGTCTCCTTATTTTATTATTCTTATTATCTACTTATATTTCTCTATACACTGAACTTCACTAAACGATTCCTTTTATTTCAGACACTGCAAAATATGTTTATAAAATGTATAGTATTCTAATATCTGTAATGATACTGCTGATGATAATTATGATGATAATAATAATGATGATCATAATAGTAATAACAACAGTGATAATAATGGCAATAATAATAGCAGTACTGCTAATAATGATAATTATGGTGATGATGAAACAGTAAAAGTAATAGCAATAATGACAATAACGATGAATACGTTATTAATTATGATAAAAAGCAAACTATTGATTAACGGTAAAACAATACTAATGATAATACTATAGTAACATTAATAAATTAATAGCGATGCTAATGATATTGGTGATGATAACATAATACCTACTCTAATATTGTTAACAATGATATGACAAATATTTATGATAATAAAGGCAATAACAACAGCGCTAACGAAAATGATAACAATGATAAAAAGAAGAGCATCAAAAATTATTATTATAATAGCTACCATAACAATAATAATAATATGCATAACAAGGAGAGAAAAAATGTTATTACTAACAATAAGAAAATTGTAACAATAGAGATAATTATGATAATAATGATGTTAATGATCATCGGCACGACAAACGATGTTGAGAATAATGATTATGATGATGAAAAAAATAAAACGTATAAAAATTATAGTGACAAGGATAATAATGTAAATGAAAATAGAAACAATATCATTAATAGTAATAGTAGCACCTGTAGTAATAAAAAATTATAATAATGAGAATATAAGTAGCTAAAATGATAATAGTGATAATAATAGCAATAATGATAATAATATGATAAAAGTAGCAATAATGATAATGATATTATGATAGTAATAATGAATAATAGTAATAACACTAATAACGGCAATGATAACAATAATAAGGATAATATGAAAAATAACAAAGAAAGTATTCATAGTTAAATACTAACAATAATAACAATACTTATAACATTGATATTAATAGTGATCATTATAATTATTATAATGATTGTTATTGTAATGCTCATAATATTCATAATTGCTAGTAATAATAAGAATGAAAGTGACATCAGTAATAATGAAAATCAAAATGATGGCGATGATAATAACAATGATAATAAAAGTAATAATAAAAATAAGAATGACAATAATAAAAGTAATAATAATAATAATAATAATAATAATAATAATAATAATAATAATAATATAATAAATAATAATAATAAATAATAATAATAATAATGATAATAATAATAATAGTAATAACAATAATGATAATAAATATAACAACAACAATAATGATAATGATAACAATTACAAGACATAGAATAGCAATAATGATGATACCCGTTCATGATTATAGTTAAAAAGAATAATAGAAATAACAATATAAATAATTATGACAACAAGAAATGATACTAATGTTAATAGCAATGCTGTTTTATTAAGATATTATTATTATTGCTATTTGATATTAATAACAATATCAATATTTTTATCATTACTATTATTATTATTATCATCATCATTATCGTTATGATTTTAATATTATTGTTATTATTATCATTATTATAATTGTCATTATCATTATTATTATTATTATTATTATTATTATTATTATTATTATTATTATTATTATTATTATTATTATTATTATTATTATCATTATTATATTCATTATTATTATTATTATTATTATTATTATTATCATATTATCATATTATTATCATTATTATATTATTATTATTATTATTATTATTTATTGTTATTATTATTAATTATTATTATTATATTATCATTATCATTATACTTTTATTATTATCACAGTTATTATTAATATTATTATTATTATTCTTATTATATTATTACCATTATTACAGTATTATTATCATTATTATTATCATTATTGTTGTATTGTTATTATCAGTGATGATAATAATTATCATTATTATTATTATTGTTATTATCATCATTATTGTTATTATCAGTAATGATAATAATTATCATTATTATCATTACTGAAACAAAGCATTTAAATCGAATGACCATCATTTCTAATAATTATCAACATGGACGACATCGGTAATGAACGTGAAAATGAAAGTCAAAATATTACTTGATAATGATAATAATCATAATCTTCTAATTGTGCTTTCATATTTCCGTCAACTTAACCCAGAGTATTAACTCCATCTTCAGCGCATTATGATAATTTTTGTCATGAACGGACCCAGCTATCCTAATGCGTGTAGTAAAAATGGCGCTGCATTCATTATCATTAACATTCTAATTATTTCGACCACTTCTGCAGGCCCATCCATTCTGAATATCATTATGATAATCATTTTCGATTATAGAAAACGAGTTACGGGCTTGCTGAAGTACGCAGTAATCACCTATATAGCCAAGATCGTATATTGTGACACCGCTTGAGCTCTCCGCTGATGCGACGCTCCGTTAGCGGGATCGTAATGCTGTTCTGATGTTGTAAATATATTTCTTCTTTTTTGTTTAATTTTCGTTTATCGTTAAGAGTGTTGTTGTATTTTAGTCTGTTAGAATAGTTGTGATTATTAATTTAAGTTTTCACCTTAATTATCTATTTTATTGGTTTTGTTGTATTTATTATTAGCATTAAAAGGATACAATAATTATTTTTATCAATATTGCCATGATCAACATAATTATCATTCTTGTAATTTTTGCTGTTATTGTCGCTGCTATTCATACTATTACTATTATTATTATTATTATTAATTTCATAATCATTATCGTTTATATTATTTCTACTGCTACTACTAACAATATTATTATTATTTTCATCATCCCGAATATCATTATAAATTATTGTCACCATAAATATTACCATTATCCTGATTAGGTTATTCTCGTAGTCATAAAGAATTAATTATCATTATGGTCATTATTATTGTTATGATCGTTTTATTATCGTTATTATTATTATTATAATAATAATTATTATTATTATTAGTGTCATACCCATTGTTATTATCATAATCAAAATATCGATAATATTATTACCAGTATCATTATTACCATTATCAATATTATTATTATTATTATTATTATCATCATCATCATCAATAATTTCCTTTTCATCAAAATCGTTATATTTATTATTATCAATCTTATCATAAATATCAACATTACAATTATTATTTTCATTATTATTAGTATTATTTTTAATAATGTATTTATTCTTATCACTATTATTTTCGAAATTATTATCATTATTGTTATTATCATCGTCATTATTATTATCATTATTTATCATTATTATCATTATCATAGCTGCTTACTACTACAACTAACAATGAAAATTATTTTCAGTATCATAACATAACCATCACTGTCTTTACTATGCAGTGTATTCCTGCATTTCTATTTCATAAATAATAATTTATGAGTCATATTTCTTTCCCTTTGAACTGTTGAAGAAATGATTCCATAAACAAGTATAGATTTATATACACATCAAACATTTATATACTTTTATTTATTCGCGATCAAATAAATAACTATATATAGAAGCAGGTATGTTTGCGTAAATATCATTAGAATTTTATAAACGCCCTTTCGACTTTTTAAAACCCAAGAGTGTCTTTCCGATATCTCCCAAAAGAGCGTTGCGTAGGCCGCCCGAACCGCCGCTGACCGCCCGCCCGCCGCCCGCACGGACAATATGGGCGGGGAAAAAGAACGCTGGACATTGAAAATTTTGAAAATTTCGGCCCTACCTAAAACGGCGCGAATTCCACCCCCTCCCCTGCCCTCCCCCCCACCCTTCCCTGTTGTCTGTGCAATTTTGTCGACGCCGTAAAAATCCTGCTTATGGCGCAAACATTCTCATAAAACAAAACATTCGGAGGAACGCGCGATTATAACACTTCATGGTTAAAGACAAGCGACCGTAAAGCATATCGTGTGAGCGCTAACAATTTTGTCACCTGGGCAGTTATTAGAAAATTGAATATACTGTTGCTGTAATGATACGACGCTGTTAACACTTTTACCCACCCTTTCTGTATACAGGTTGTGGCCGCCCCGGGTGAGAGATCGCTACTCTATCGCCACGCCATGTGCGACGCTCGAGATGGAGGCCAATAGTAATATCGCCGATGCCAACGGCCGTTCCGCTCGCCTTCTCCGGCGCTGAACTGGAGAGGCTGCTAGGCTTCTATGGCAGAGTCGAAAGGGGGTATTTTGGATCCGCGCTGTCTCGGTCCACTAGCGTCATCGCTGGGACGGGAGGAATGGGGAGCTCGGTGGTTGTTTTGTCTCTCGGTTCTTCCTTTTTTTCTGTCTTTCTTTCTTTTCTTTTGGATCCTCCTCTTGTTCTTCCTCCTTCTGCTTACTAAATTTAGGTATCATCCATTTTGTTATTGATCTGCATAGCTCGCTCTAACTCCCTCCTCTCTCTCTCTCTCTTTCTTTTTTTACTCCACGTCCCTTCTGTGCGCTAAAGTAAAAACAACTGGCCTCGCTGAGGAATCTGGATTTTTGCATGAAACGGACAAGAACGACGGAAGTGTGTATAAAAATAATATCGCAAATGGCTACCACGTCCTCCCCCTCCTCCCCCTTCCCAAAAGCAGCGGCGTGTGAGCCCCCGGGGGTAAATGGGAGAAGGTTAGACGAGGGGCAGGACAAGAGGCAGGCTGGCCCGGCCGGCCCGTCACCAGCAGCCGCCGCCGCGCCGCGCCGCCCCACCGCCACCGCCGCCACCGCTGCCACCGCCGGCCGCCATGTTGTGCCCGCAAACCCACTGGGAGGACGCTACAGCCACGCCGACCCTGTGGTGGCCGCGTCGCCACGGGGTCGCCGAACCCCGCTCTGCGGTGACGCTGCTGCTTCGCTCGGGAGTGCCCTCGCGACAGCACCGACTCCCTGAGGCGTCGGAGGAATCGCGAGGGAGGCGAGCAGGAGACGCGGACGCCAGGAGGAGCGGAGGCCTGAGAG